TATCAAAACTTCCGATTTTTTTCACCTTTTAGACAGTTATTGCACACCTCGTCGTGTTGCAAAGGTATCGAGAGCACTCTCGTGAAATGCACCTCACAAGTATCAGTTGACTTGGTAGCGTTCAATAAGCCTGTTGTTCACGCCTCTTTGGGGTATATGATACTCGATTCGATGAACAGCATTGACCCGAATCTGAGAGTCAGATGTACAGGTTCAGCTCCAGACGTTAGCCTATGTCTGGCTTAAATCTTAATCATTTGTCCTTAATGGGATATCGAGTGATAAAAAAGCTGTATCAACGGTTATGTTTGTTGATGTGTTTATATGTAGGGGCATTGCTAACATTAAAATGAAACGAAGGTTTAAGTAAAATCGACTGAATTATTTGGTTTGTCGATCATTACGGTTCTTTTATTGTAATGTCGTTGCGTTTTTTGACTGATGATCAAGTGCATAGTGTTATCAGTGGTTATTTTTGCGAAACGGTTTTACCATTGATATCACATTACAAATATGCTGTGGATAAACAACAATCGAATTCTATTTCGGTCGTGTTCTCCAGCGACTCAAAAAAAGCAGAACCGTAAACAGGAACATCCTAATTCCTACAAAACCCATAAATTCATCTGGTTCCGGAACAATTCGCTCTATAGTAACTGATCAAATTCGTCAACTAACTGATAACTCTATACTAACTGACTGATAGNAAATATGCTGTGGATAAACAACAATCGAATTCTATTTCGGTCGTGTTCTCCAGCGAAATAGCAGAAAAGCAGAACAGAACCGTAAACAGTTCCTACAAAGCAGAACCGTAAACAGGAACATCCCAATTCCTACAAAACCCATAAATTCATCTGGTTCCGGAACAGTTCGCTCTATAGTAACTGATCAAGTTCGTCAACTAACTGATAACTCTATACTAACTGACTGATAGCTCATAAACCACAAAAATTCGTTCGCTCTCTAGTAATTAATAGCAAACTGCAAATGTGATAAAATGCTAATTTCAGTATGCACAATATTTTGATGAAGCGGGCGTGATGGGCGAAAAGGAGAAAATGTGTACATCTGAGCCGATTTTGTTCTTCTGAGTGGAGAAATGCTTTTGATCGTTGCTCAATTAACGTTCGGTCATCTTCATCATCGTTCGACTTGTCAAGCCATTCACCATCAAACCACATACCACTTCGCGACTTTGTTCGTCGTCTTTCTGTTCAGCATCCCAAAACGATTCGATTTCTGTTGTTGTTATATAAACAAATGTGCGTCATTCTTAAATGTCACTATTCTCATTTTTCACCACTTTCTCGCTATAACCGCTACCATTCGATGCCTCCTTCTCTTCGATGTTCGTTGATTCCATGCAATCAGTTCTATCATGGGTTGAACAATAATTAGTATTTTTAACTAGAGAAGATGTCAGTCCACACGAATATGCTACGAAACATCTTCGTATTTTCGATTGCAATTACCAAACCTTAAGAAATTACCTGAGTGAACTACTACACCGTTTGAATATTTAGATTTCCCGTTCACATACCATAACTTTTACAGAAGATTCTGAGGCGAGCATTTTCGTTTGTCGCTCGCGGATTATTCCCAATACGCTTATCGCATTTCTTACCNAATTAGTATTTTTAACTAGAGAAGATGTTAGTCCACACGAATATGCTACGAAACATCTTCGTATTTTCGACTGCAATTACCAAACCTTAAGAAATTACCTGAGTGAACTACTAGACTGTTTGAATATTTAGATTTCCCATTCACATACCATAACTTTTACAGAAGATTTTGAGGCGAGCATTTTCGTTTGTCGCTCGCGGATTATTCCCAATACGCTTATCGCATTTCTTACCATACGTTCACCGTGACTGAGTTTTCGAATTCCCGTAACGTTTACTTCTCAACTTATGATAGAATTCGGATGATACGATTTTTGTTGATTTCGAACACAAATCGTACGGCCTTCAGTATTGATGTTGTTTTCACTGCCATCATTTCATTTTCTCCTATGAAGTTATTTTCTAAAGTAATCACTCTTTATCCGAGATCTTGCACTCGCAAACTGTTGACGTCAATAAACTTAAGAGAAATTACTGCTCACTTACCGAGCAGTTAATCGTCGACACCTGGTTTCACTTTCAAATTATTCCTTTCATCAGGTGCTCAACATTGTATGGGCTACCCGAAACGAGGTTTCAGGTTATGATATGTAAAAATAAGGGCGTTGTTCATGAAAAGCAGATTAAAGAAGTGGAAATAGGATGAAATTAGATAGTAAATTGAATGTCAGACAGTTGTGTCAATTTTTTGGTGACAACTTTTCGATTCACATTTTCAATGAACACGTTCTATTCAACTAGTTAATAGATGAAATGGGAGCAGTTATTCAATATGAAGGAATTTCAATTTAACGATGCGTTGTTTATTGCATTATCATGATGATTGTTATTATTACTGTTGCTAGTAACACTACTGATTGATTGAAAATTTGTAAGTTTTGTGATCTTTGTGATGAAATTATCATTGAAATAGAATTATTATGATAATGTGTTCTAATTGTCAATCAGTGAATATGCACTGGAAGTAGCAGAGTAAATGGGATAATGATGACTCCGATGGAACCTGAATGATCATTTCGGATTCCAGCTTCTATTTTTAAAATAGCAGGAAACAATTTTCAGTTTCAATCGATGACTTTTTAAGAAATAGAAATCGACATGTGTGAGCAACTGGTAGAAAATTAGAGTTATATTGAAGGTTGCATGAAGCAGTTCTAATTAGTTTACTCCGATTACTCCGAAATAACAACATTTTTGGCAGTAATCATCTCCTAGGCTTCCCTTCCCCGCCATATATTGATCTGAAGAATGGCAATCGATTTCATATTATAAATTGTTCAGGTAAACAGCGTCTTCGTAGCACAATGAGAACGATGAAAAATGAATTCTCTACGCTTCAGTCATTCAGTATTCCTGGAAGAGAGCTGATGTAAGAATATCACTGGAAGTAGATCAATATACCTAAAATATTTCAATCATCCACAATCGGAATAGACACCTGATAGTGTTCAGTCCTAACAGTCACACACTTATTGCAGAGTTGAGTCGGTCGCCAGCGAAATTCAGGTACCTTCAAAAACCGGTGGCCATCGACCGCTACCGAAAGGGACTGTTCGATCGGTACTTTAGGCAAACCGAACTTCGGTTACCACCGATCGGAACCGACCGATACTCAAAATTTGTCTATCGACTGGGCGTTCGATTGGGGGCCACCGAAATGATTGCATTTATAATATACGTCAAAGTAATTGTCAGTATCATAGGGAGGTGAGAAGTTGCATAGCATAATCAACATTTGAAGTATAAATCTGATTCTACCTTCGCAATCTACGCTTCGACGACATGTGAAAAGGCTGCAATGAAAAGGCATACAAAAGGGAAGTATACCTTTTGCTGTGAAAAAAAATGACGGTGAAAGGTATGCAAAAAGAAAAAGAGATTTGAGCACATGAAATCTCAAAGAAAGGCAAAGGATTGGAAGCGAGACGGGGATAGCTCGGAGATATTCGAAGAAAATATCATCATTCACAAAAATGGATGTGAAACGTTGACAAAGACAAATGAAATGCTAAAAAAATATCAAGGATAAATAAGATACCGAACGTAAGATATCAAGGATATTCTGTTTCGGTGTAGCGTTGATAATTCTTTTTGACCGAGGTTTGACTGCCGCGAACCCGTAG